TTTGAATCAACTCGGCGTGATGTAGATCACAGACTTTTTTGGAAATTTTTAGGCAACTTTGCCAAAAGCTCAGACTTTCAATAAATTATGAAATTTTTACTTTTTCGGAGCATATTCGAAAATTCGCAAAGGACATTTTTTTGTTGATTTCGACTTGTTGAAGTTATTTTCGGCTTCATTTCTTCGAATATTTCAACCATTTTTCCAGAATCCCCATAGAATTATGGCCATTTTTGGGATATTTTAAAAATGTAACTTTGAAACCGCATATTTTGAAAATCTTGCCGTGGAACTATCAACAGACTGTTGTTTTTCGAATCAGCTTGTTGTGACCTACATCACAGAATTTTTTGTGAATTTTTAGGCAACTTTGCCAAAAGTTCAAATTCTCAATAAATTATGAAATTTTTTACCGTTTTCGGAGCAAATTCGAAAATTAGCCTAAGATTTTTTTTGTTGATTTCGACTTGTAGAAGTTAATTTCGGCCTCATTTCTTCGAATATTTCAACCATTTTTCCAGAATCGCCATAGAAATATGGCCATTTTTGGGATACATATTTTAAAAACGTAATTATGAAACCGCATATTTTGAAAATCTTGCCGTGGAACCATCAACAGACTGTTGTTTTTCGAATCAGCTCGTTGTGACCTACATCACAGAATTTTTTGTAAATTTTTAGACAACTTTGCCAAAAGTTCAAATTTTCAATAAATTATCAAATTTTTTACGTTTTTCGGAGCAAATTCGAAAATTGCCCAAATATATTTTTTGTTGATTTCGACTTGTAGAAGTTATTTTCGGCTTCATTTCTTCGAATATTTCAACCATTTTTCCAGAATTACCAAAATGAAATATGGCTGTTTTTGGGATATACCTACTTATGTACCTACTTATTTTAAAAATGTAAATTTGAAACCACATATTTTGAAAATCTCACTCTGGAATCGTCAACTGACCCGTGTTTTTCGAATCAACTCCTGATATATACTTCACAGAATTTTTCGTAAATTTTTAGACAACTTTACCAGAAGCTCAAATTTTCAAAAAATTATGGAATTTTTTAAGTTTTTCGTAACACATTAGAAAATTACCTAAAACATTAATTTTTTGCTGATTTCGACTTGTAGAAGTTATTTTCGGCTTCCTTTCTTCGAGTATTTCAACCATTTTTCTAGAATCGCCAAAATGAAATATTTTTGAAATATTTAAAAAACTTTATTGTGAATTGGTATATTTCGAAAATTTCGTTCTGGGAATAGGACTTTGGACATTTAATTGTAACATTTACTTTACAATCTTATTGAAAATGTTTACAAAAATTTTGTACTGCATAATTTTAGCGAATTGTTTGAAAAAAAAAAAAATAAGTAAAACTTCTACTAAAATTATTATTATTCCTCAAAAAATAGAGAAGGTACATAATTTTTAAATTTGCTACGTTATCAAAAGATCAAAACTACTTTTCATTAACGTCTGTTTTATTAACAAAAAATTGTTTGAATATCTTTAAAACAAATGGCTTTTTTAATTTTTTCAGTGGAGTGGTCGTTTTTTAATGTTTTTTTACCTATTTTTTGCCACATAATTCGTCATTAAAAGTAGGCAGCAGTGTTCTAAATCACTCTGTATAACATAGTTGGGAAATGTACATAAAACAAAACTAGTGGCTGTTTGCAACAATAATTTTTAATATAGTAGGTGTAGATATACTTAGTTGATAATAATTTTATTATACTTATTACTTGTTTTCTCTTTTTTTTGTAAGTTTTTGGAAACATTTTTTCTATATTACTTAGTAGGTATCAACGTTCAATCACAAACTGTATAATCTGGAAATAAAGGTATAAATACAAAATAAGGGTGAAAATAATGCAAAATAGTCTCCACAAAATTAAAAAACACTCATTAATACAGTAAAATTAGAAATAAATCCCGTTTTTTTTCTTTGAAAAATTTAAAACAATGATGAGATTCTAGGTATTCCTGTTTGGAAAGAATTTGAAAGTGCTTTGGAACCTCTAGTCTCTTATCTTATAATAATTTAATTAAATTTCTTAGGATACGTCATTCAAGTCGTCTCTCATTGGCCAAAATCAGTCTTATCTTAGCAGGTACTAGCCCCGCCCACCCACCCTCTCTTTTCTTAGAGGGTATCTCATTTGCCAAAATCAGCCTTATCTTAGCAGGTACTAGCCCCGCCCACCCACCCTCTCTTTTTTGAAGGTATCTCATTTGCCAAAATCAGTTTTATCTTAGCTATTACCTGCAAATTACAAATCCTTTTTAGAAAATAGAGGGCGGGTTAAAACTTGCTAAGATAGAACTGAACAATACTAACTTAGTAATTTTTTTATTATTTTTTTGGGTATAACATGTTAAATCGTTTAGATTTTTTTTTAACTTTTTCAGTTTTTTTTTAATTTGCATTTTTAAATTTGAACTTAAACTATCATAAGCGTTTTTAGTAAAATTAGAACGTTTGTTATTAATTCCTCTTTAGACAAATTAAGGGATTTTTAAGACAATGAAACATGATTCTTAGAAATTAGAAATTTCAGTTATAAAAATTTTGAAATTTTAAGAAAGAAACAAACTGGGCGCTGAGGCTAAATGGTTTTCTCAAATGTTTGAGTCTAAAATAGAATTAATTGTATGCCTTTTTGAATAAAAAATAATACCGCAATTTTAAACTTTTATTCTTAAGCAGGTATAAGTATTTAAAAAACGTCCCCTGCATTACGATTTCTTAATTAGAACCAGTTTTCCACAAAAATAAGTTTAATTCGTTTAGTAATTGCTGTAGTTGGTTAATAAAAAAATTAGAGAATCTTTAATTTTAATAAAAATAAGTAATGTAAGAAACTTTCAAAGTGTCTTTACAATATAGTGAGTTCAACAATCTAAATATAAGTAATTTCTAATTATATGCATTATTATTTTGTAAATAGTTAGGAAAATAGAAATGTATCAACAATATATTATCGTTTAATTTGCCTCAAAAATATTTTTAATTGGCGTATTTTTTAAATTTGTGCTCTAGTTGGCCATGACGCTTACGTCAGCCGTTTCAATTGCACTGCTGACGTAGGCGTCATTGCCAACTAGAGCAGAAGTTTAAAAAAATCACCCAATAATTAAGTACGTTACACTGGTATAAAACTATCATTAGAGTTTTTTATTGGAAAATGATTCGTTTATCTCAAATATGATAACTCTACTACCTATGATGATTTTTAGTTTTCATGAAAATTTTGTTAAACAGGTGTGGAATATAAAAGCATTTCTTCTAATAATTCTGGCACGATTTAAAAAACTACCCTTAAACGCATTCGATTAAACATACGCTTCTATGAGCCATGTTCCGTCCACCCCAACCCTTTGTCACGGAAAAATGATTCCAAACACGTGTTTGATAAATCGCATGGGATTGGCACTTATCCAGTGGTGAGTATTACAAAAATTGAGAATATTATTCCAGTTAAAACAACATTCATCCTTCGTAAGAATTCCAGACTGAAATAAGGGGTTGTCACCGTTTCTATTCAGAAGCCACTCGTAAAAGTTGCTTTTGGAAATAGTCATTCGTGCTTAAGCTTTGTAGGACTCATTGAAGGCGGAATGGATAAAGAGGAGAATTTATAAGGACTCTCTTGAACTTAAAAAAAAAATAATTTTAAGGTGAAGCCAGAAACGGAAAATTAACATTTCTGTTAAGCTGGATGCAGTAGATTTGTAATATTAATTTCGGAAAAAATGAGCGTTGTAGATTGGAATCTTTAATTATGTTGTGCTTGTGCGACACGTGATAATAAAAACTGGTTTAAATAAAATCATCACAAATTGACGAAATAAACACTATAAAAGATGTTGATTTCAATGTTCCAATGAAACTGTTTGAGTACCTATGTTGCTTAATAAATCCAATCAAAATTCACTATGAAACTTCTCCGACTTCGATGATGCTTCAGCTGAGAGTTTCCGGATTTCTTACATTTCGTATTTCGACTTGTTTCCGAATTTTTACAAATATTAACTAAAAAGTAAAAGTGGATTCATAAGTTGCTCAATGAGTCGCAAACGCCCGATTTCTTCATTTTCCTTTCGTTTTTCTCTTAGAAGTCACTCTCCGGAAATAAAAAAGTGTCACATTTTCCTCCACCATTTCCATTTAATGATGAAAATCCCAACTAAACATCACATCCGCACCACCCATCCGTCATGCCACCCTCGACCCTCACATTGGCAGCTAATTTTCCTTCTGAAATATTCATATTTTCCACGCAATCCTCTCAGGTTTCGGCTCCGAACTGGAATCTCGATCCCGGTGGCGAGAGTGGGGCCGCGGCCACGCCCCGCGAGGGCGGTCCCCCTCGCCCCGCCCCTCTCTCGCCCCTCCCGCGCCCCGGCCGAGTCGATCATTCCGATCATTTGCATATAAATCTGCGATCGGAAAGAAGAGCGCTTATTAGCGCCGGAGGCGTCAACAGATCAATCTTTCGGCAATTATCGGCTGCGATCGCGCGATCCGCGAAATCCGCCCGTACGCCCTCCCGCATACGGCGCGCAAATACGCACAAGAATGACAATATTATTATGGTAATTCTATTAAGTATTGTCGACAATAGTACAACCTGTTGGTTTTGAATCGGAGCCGTGAAACGGACAACAAAATTATTTGATAACAAATGTCGACGGGGCGACAAAAGATGCGGCGTTTTGTTTCCGGGCGATCGACGCGAGCTCGGAGGGCTTTGTTTACGGGGAAGCGATGGATTTTTAATGTGGCAAATTGAGAACGAGGACGGTGACGATTGCGTAATTGGGGTTAGTGGGTAGTCGGAGCGGGGCTATTGTTTTTCGCCCGTTTTCGGGTTTGTTTACGATTTTTGCGCTTGTTTGGGTCGGGACAATGGCGAGGGGGAGGGGAAAGGGGTTGGAACGGCGACGTACAGAAATGTCGAATGTGGGGATTTTCTAAAATTTATTTATTTTTTTCAGGTACGGGGTGGCTTGTTGAATACACTTTTCCACGGTGGGATGGTAAGTGTGGCGCTAAATGAATAAAACCATCACGTGATATTTTAGAGGGGTGTTTGCTTAACTATACATTCAAAAATAAACTAATTAGAAACAACCCTACCAAACTAATAAAGTTTAAGGGTAGCAATGAAGGTTCAAAATAAATGTTCAACTTTGTAAAGTACATTTCTTTTAATCCTTAGTTTCATCGTCGTATTATTAAAAAGGTCTTTTCCAAGACCTTTTTAATAATACAAGAAAGTCATGCAAGAATATTAGGTAAGGATATTTCCAGCAGGATAAGGCTACAGCTCATAATAAAAAACATATCCGCTGACCAGCTAGATTGCTAGGTTTAACTCATCTAAACTATTCAACTTTTAAGAATATCAAAGACACGGTTTTCAAACATAATGAAGAATTTGGATTACCTATCTATCTAATGTTCCAAATCAAAAATTGCTACGTTAATGTGGGTTAAGAAATAGAACAGAAGATTTTTTGTGGGAATACCTGGCTGAATATCATTAAAGCAGGTGATACACAATATTCTTATTTATGTAATTTTTAGATTATAGGTATATGTAATAAATTGTTTGGTAAAATAAGGAAACAAACTTTCATTAAGAATGCAGGGAGCGAAAAATTTCAATATCAATTTATTGTAAACATTCTGTTTGCTTTTTTTTTTTAACTTCTTTTTCCCACACTGACATTTTTAGTGTTTAATGTAATCTTGCAGCTGATTCTGTTTTGCCTTAATTTCTATTTTTTCCCTTCTTGCCCTTTAATGATAACTCCTAGGTATTATGAGGAGATCACGTCTTCAATTTGTACGTCCCGACCCTACGCTAAGGAAGTATTGTATTAGGGTTCATATATGGCGAATGGCCTTTTATATTGCTTCGACGTTTTTTGATTTCTAGAATTGGAAAAAGTAGGTTTCCCGTTTGATATTAATAAATTTTACCAATTTGATGACATCACCTAGTAATTTTGCATACTAAATGCTATTTAATTTTATAGAGGAACGTACATCTGTACCTGTGATTTATGAATCCGCCTTAATTTTTTACCTAGGCTTCCAGATTTTCGCACAAAAATTGTATAATGGGACCATTCGGAAGGGCTCCATGCCTCACGCGTGTTAATAACACGAAGATCGCGGATTTGATCGATTCCGGGTTCGATTCCTCCATGAGCCACTTTTTTTCCTACACTGTGATTGGTACCTTTTTTTTAAACATGAGACCAGATTTTTAATGATAATTGATATAATGTGGGTTTTTAAGTTTTTTATTTTTTTAGACCATTTTCGAAAATTAGCGAAAGAGATTTTTTTGTCGATTTCGACATTCAGAAGCTATTTTTTGCTTCATATTTCAATGAAATAGGGATAACAATTTTTAGCACTTTAAAAAGATTCTATTTGAAGGCTAATAATTAGAAAATCTTAATCTGAGTCTATAAACACACAATTTTTTTCAAATCAGCTCATCACGATTTAGTACCTACTTATATCCTAGAATTTTTTGTGGATTTCTGGGCAACTTTTTCAATTTGTCAATATTCCCTCTTTTGAAATTTTCGGCTCCTTTTTAACCATCTTTGAAAGCAACATAAAAAGAAGTTTTGTAGATTTCAAAATTTTCATTTCTTCGAAAATTCCTAGCATTTTTACAAAATCGCCAAATCAAATAAGTCAATTTTAGCAATTTCAAAGAAATTTGAATTTGAAATTTCATCCATGACCATTGACAAGCTATGTTTTGAGAGTCAGTTTGTCGAGATCTATATAAATTTTTGTGAATTTTTTGTAACATTTTCAAAATTCTTTCAAATTTTCAACCCTTCTTCGACCATTTTTTGTAAACTTCGATCTCTAAAATTTACTTTCGGTTTCATTTTTGCGAAAATTCGTATAATTTTTCCAAAATCTCCAAATGAAATACCTTTGGCAATTTTTTAGGATTTCAAAGAAATTTGTGTTTGATAGGTATCAAATATTTAAAAAATCACCACTTTTTTTTGTAGATTTGGTTCTCGAAAATTTTTTTCGTTTTGATTTCTACTAAAATTCCTAGAATTTTTTCAAACTGACCAAAGGAAACATGATGATTTCAATAAATCTCTAAAAAATTTGGAACATGGAACTATGAATAAATATTGGTTTAAGAATCAACATCTCAAGATTTCGGTCTTACAATTTTCTATGGATTTTTGTGTAACTTTCCCAAATCCTCATTTTTTTCTTTTGAAATATTCGACCCTCTTTCGACCACTCTCTAAAATTTTTGAAATACATTTTTTTGTAGATTCCGACATCCAAAATATAGTTTCGGCTTCATTTCTTTGAAAATTTCTAGCATTTTCTTAAAATCGCCAAAAAAAATGTGGTAATTTTTAAAATTTCTAAAAAATTTTAGTTTGAAACAAATTATTTCGAAAATGGGTATTTGAGACCATCGATATATAAGCTATGAAGTACAATAGGAACTCGTAAAAATTTATATCCCTAATTTTTTTGCGGATTTTTAGGCAATTTTCCCAAAATCGCAATTTTCGACCCCTTTTCGACGACTTTCGAAAATTATGCAAAGAGAACTTTTTATAAATTTCGATTTCTAAGATTTACTTTCGGCTTCATTTTTGGAAAATTTGTATCATTTTTCCAAAATTTCCAAATGAATTGCAATTTTTTAGAATTTTGAGAAGGATACCGAATATTTAAAAAAATTGCCAACTTTGAAAATTACCTAAAGAGATATTTTTTGGTATATTTCGATTTGGAAAATTTATTTTCGTCTTCATTCCTTCGAAAATTCCTAGCATTTTCTCAAAATCGCCAAAAGAATGGTAACTTTTAAAATTTCTAAAAAATTTCAGTTTTAAACAGATTATTTCGAAAATGGACATCTGAAACATTGATATATAAGCTATGAAGTACAATACGAACTCGTCGAAATCTATATCCCCGATTATTTTGTGGATTTTTAAGCAATTTTCCCAAAAATCGCAATTTTTTCTTATGAAATTTTGACCCTTTTTCGACAACTTTCGAAAATTATCCAAAGAGAACTTTTCATAAATTTCGATCTGTCAGATTTACTTTCGGATTCATTTTTGGAAAATTCGTATAATTTTTCCAAAATCTCCAAATGAATGGCAATTTTTTTGAATTTTGAGTTTGGTACCGAATACATTTCAAAAATTGCCAACTTTGAAAATTACCTGAAGAGAATATTTTTGTATATTTCGATTTGGAAAATATACTTTCGTCTTCATTTGTTTGAAAATTCCTAGCATTTTTTCAAAATCGTCAAAGGAAATTGGTGATTTTTAAAATTTCTGAAAAATTTGAGTTTGAAACAGAATATTTCGAAAATCGGCTTCTGGGTCCATCAGTAGGGCTATCTAGACCTTACAATTTTTTGTGGATCTTTTGGCAACTTTTCAAAATCTTCATTTTTTTTCTTTTGAAATAAGTATTTGACCTTCTATCGACCAATTTTTTATTGACTTTCACCCCCATTTCTTCGAAAATTCGTAACATTTTCTCAAAATCGCCAAAAAAAATGTGTTGATTTTTAAAATTTCTAAAAAATTTGAGTTTGAAACAGAATATTTCGAAAATCGGCATCTGGGTCCATCAGTAAGCTATATTTTGAGAATCAGGATGTCATGATCTAGACCTTACAATTTTTTGTGGATTTTTAGGTAACTTTTCAAAGTCTTCGTTCATTTTCTTTTACAATTTTCGACCAATTTCGAAAATTATTATTGAAAGATATTTTTTTGTAGATTGTGATCTCTATTTCTTTGAAAATTCCTAACATTTTCTCAAAATCGCCAAAAGAATAAAGTGATTTTTAAAATTTCTAAAAAATTTCAGTTTTAAACAATATTTCGAAAATGGGCATCCGGGACCATCGATAAGTACATGAAGTACAATAGGAACTCCTTTAAATCCATATGCCTGATTTCTTTGTTGATTTTGAGGCAATTTTTCCAAAACCGCAGTTTTTTCTTATGAAATTTTGACCCTTTTTCGACAACTTTCGAAAATTATCCAAAGAGAACTTTTTATAAATTTCGATATGTAAGATTTACTTTCGGATTGATTTTCGGAAAATTCGTATAATTTTTCCAAAATCTCCAAATGAATGGCAATTTTTTTGAATTTTGAGTTTGATACCGAATATATTTCAAAAATTGCCAACTTTGAAAATTACCTAAAGAGAATTTTTTTGTGTATTTCGATTTGGAAAATTTATTTTCGTTTTCATTTGTTAGAAAATTCCTAGCAATTTCTCAAAATCGCCAAAAGAATATGGTAATTTTTTAAATTAAAAAAAAAAATCACTTTGAAACAGAATATTTCCAAAATGGGCATCAGAGACCATCGATAAGCTATGAAGTACAATAGGAACTCTTCCAAATTTATATCCCTTATTTTTTTGTAGATTTTTAGGCAATTTTCCCACAACCGCAGTTTTTTCTTATGAAATTTTCGACTCTTTTCCATTACTTTCGAAAGTTATCCAAAGAGAACTTTTTGTAAATTTCGATCTCCAAAATTTACTTTCGGCTTGATTTTTTCGAAAAATCATATAATTTTTCCAAAATCTCCAAAAGAAATATGGCTATTTTTTAGAATTTCTAAGAAATTCGTGTTTGATACTGAATATTTCAAAAATTACCACCTCTGAAAATTACCTAAAGAGATTTTTTTTGTAGATTCCGAACTCCAAAATTTATTTTCGTCTTCATTTCGGCGAAAATTGTGTAGCATTTTTTCACGATCACCAAAGTAAGGATGCTGATTTTTGATTTTTTTAAAAATTTGAGTTTGAAACACAGGATTTCGGAAATCGGCATCTGGAACAATCAATCAAGTCAAGTCATACTTTGAGAACCAGCATGTCATTTTTTTCTTTTGAAATATTCAACCCTCCTTGGACCACTTTCAAAAATTATTGAACGACATTTTTTTGTACATTTTGACTACAAAAAATTCTAGC